CTTGTTCGCTGCCAGATCTATATGACAACTGTAAAACCTCCATAAATCAGGTAATTTAGGAATAATTTCGTCCTGTTTTCTTCTTGATGGTTTTTTGAACACTGAATCATCTTCCTTCACTTTAAAAGCAAGTAGTAGAACATTAAAATGCTACATTTTAAGTGCTAAATTTGCTTAAATGCTTATCATAGTTTCTAAAATTATTTACTGAACTATTATTATTGTTTTCTGAGATATTTACAGTGTTTGTATTTCATCTAAAGTCAATTTCATGAAAAATCATCTCTCACATATACTCTTAGGAGGCATAACAACATACTTGGATAAAATTATCATAATACAATAAAATAGCAAAACATTCAGTTAAATCACACATACAGGAGTGGATTTTTTTAAAAAGTAGTTTCAAAGAATGACAAATATTCTTACGCATCTTTTTGAACCTCAAGAGGACAGCAATGCTGGTTACTCATTTGATGTTCACAGTACAGAAAGACTTAAGAATTGTAGTAACTAAATCAACATTCACAGGTATTACCTGGCAAATTTTGCTTTACTGAGTATCTTGCATAATTTCCTTTGTTCAATGAAATTCTAGTATGGGTCAAATGACTCTTAAAGCGTAAAACATTTAGGCAGTAGAGTGTGTCAATCATGCCTTGATTTCAAACACGTTCCTTTGAAAGTAGTGCTCACTATGTATGCTTACAAAATGGATCAAGTAACCTTTACATTAATTTTTCATTTAACAAGCCTTTATTAAACTAAATGGCACTACAAAGCAGTTGGTAATTGAGAAATCTATACTGCCCAGATACATAATTATACGCACATTTTATATCTTCATTTGTTTAACGATGCTTAATTCATAGTCTGAAAATGCAGCTTCCTCCAGTAATATTAGAAGTCGCACTGCTTCTAAAAGTGGAATCTTGACTTTAAAAAGACATTGAGTCTGATCACCTAGAGCTCACTGCAAATACCAAATGGACTCCTGACGCCTGGTGAGTGGAGAAGGATGGGGGGGAAAGCATTTGCATTTACAGCCCTACTGTGCCATCACTTCCTCAATTATTATGACAACTTCTGCCACTGATTTTGCATGTTGAAAATACTTGTAAATCTTTAAATTTGGTATGTTTTTATTTACACAAGCTTACAAAAGAAATGTACTTTATAGCAATACAAAAAGATACATGTTAAAGTCATCTGTCATCCCCGCTCATTTGCCACGATCAACAGCAAGAAATAGCAAGCTTAAAAGGACAGAGACACTTGGAATTTTAAAGAAAAATAAAAAGCACCAGAGGTTTCCTAAAACTACTGTAACCAGAAGGGAAAAAGAAAAAAGAATAGGGGATGTGACAGAGGAATAAAAGTGCTCTAAATACCTGTCAAATCTGCATTTCGTATTTCCTATTTCATTCTACCATGAAATAACAAAACAAAAGCAAGAAACAAAACCAAAATAGCTTGGAATGAACATACACTATCCACCTTCAAAAACAGGAGCATAGATTTGTTAGTGAAATAGAAAGGATGCTGATGAAAAGGTAAAATGAATAGCTTCCAATTACCTATAATTATAACAACCAATAGGAAGAAATCTTGGTACTTCAGAAAGAAAAAAATACATTACAGAATGGATGACAGCAGTATCTACTATGAAGAGAAGAACGATTAAGGATCTCATACTGATTCTTTGTGGATTTTAGCACAATTGGAGAACACAATATATTCCATATTTTTCTAGTAAACGTCGGATTACCTGTATTTCGTAGATTTAATTTTTAAAGCCATTTTAGTGCGCATGGAAAGCTCCAAAGTTAAATAAAGGTACCTGTTTTTTATGGCTAAAATATGGCACTAAAAAATTAAAGCCTTTTAATAATACTTTATTAGATACTAATTAAAACTGAAGGATCCATCTGCTTTATAAATTTAAGGAGTTCATATGAAAATGTGACGATATAAGACTACACAGACTTCAAAGAATGTGACCTGGAAGTATAATAAATACTGAACGTCCAATTTTTCAGATTAAAATAAGAGTTTGCCCAATATATTGAAGCCATTGAATGGCCATGAAAGGCAATAAGAAACCTCAAAAATTTTTGTTCTTAATAGCTCTGTATTTTAGCCTAGTGAAGTTCATTTTTTGCAGTCCTGGGTATACAACACTGAAAAGACAGACACTGCTAAGGAACTCATATGCCTTTAGTAATCACTAAGTCAGTTGCTTTCATTTTACATTGATATCATAAGCTTTTTATTTGAACTCCTACATTTACTGTCTGTTACATAATTTCACACACACACAAGCCTTTCCAAATAAGTGCTACAAGCTAAAGAAATAATTTTGTCCATAATCAGACCAAAAAAATTTATGTGTTACTCGGAACTAAAAATCACATCTAAAAGAACAGCAGAAATTTAACATATGGGTTGAATGAGTCTCTCTGTAGTCAGTTAATGTCTCAATGTTTTTCCATTTCCATACTGCATTTTGAGGATCGCATATTTAATCGCAGTCTTAAAGTCTTTAACATATTCCTCTTAGTGTCTCATTATATTTTTTCAGTAACTGCTGTAAAAATTGTCTCCAATACAGAACTTTACTATAGGTTGCGTATTTAGAGTAGACACAGTCCTTGCTATACACCTAATACTCAAATCCGCTTTCTCATTACCCTCTACCCCAATTATGTAGACTTATACCAATTTCTGAAGTTTTTGCAATACTTCACTAGCTTATTACCCAGCTGTGCAGCTGAGCAAGAAGATAACCACATTCATTCCTCTTATCTGTAATGATGTAATACATCCCAGCACTGGGTTGAGATGATTGGGGGAATAATGGGATTGTAAAAACTGCAGAGATGACAAACAACAGTGCAGCCGCCTTCTCCTGATACAGTGAATTGCGTACATACAGCACAGGGTGAAAATAATACAATATGCACTAATTCTGCTCCTTGAAGTTAATGTTTTTCATAAGCAGCAGCTGTTTCTACACAGAAACATCATCATTATAATGCAGCAACCAGATTAAATATCCGCAATCTAGGCTGAAGCCTAGACTTCAAGAAATAAAACTGTTAGAGTTTACTTTCTAATGATAAAAAAAAAAAAAAAAAAAAAATCAAAAAAGAAAAATAGCAGTTTAATCAAGGACTCTCCAGATAGTGCAGTGCAATGCAAAGAGTCATCAGGGACTAGTACACCATACAAAAATAGATCTTGGACCAAAACACACGCAGCACTGCTTTCCTATTCATTAAAAAAACTAAATCTGCCTCCATTTTTTCTGTTAAAACCTTCTTTATTACAGCTGAAGAGATCCTTACCTTCTGCAGGAGCTGGGAACCTGAGTACTTGGCTGCAATAGATTTGATCTCCCCACCAAATGCTGAGGCCCACAGCTTTACACTGTGAATTAAAAAAAAAAAAAGAGACAGGAAGAAATGTAATACACATGTCATAGCAAGCAACACAGACTGTAACAGCTTCAGCTGCACTCAGAAGGATCCTAGCAATTTTGCATTAAAGAGCTCACTAAGGAACCAAAGCACAGCAAAAGATTAGCGAAGCTGTTCAAGTATAAGCACAAAGTACATGCTGTGCTAAGGTAAGGCCTCTGATATCAAACTACCCAACCTGCACTGCTTAAATTTAAAGAATCAACTTGTACAGAAACATGCTTTGTTATAATATGTATCCATTTAAAGGAAAGAAGCAGATAAAATGGCAGAACAGTTCCAAATGATAAATTCTCACGAGTAGTTAAAATAACAGCATCAACTTCAGTAAATACAAGCACTTCAGTTAAGATTCTGCGTCCACATACTCCACCAACATATGTTCCTACAATAAAATTAAAGTAGTGCTGAGCATGTTAGAGGCTATCACTTTAAACACAGTTGACAGAGGAGCAAAGATGCCTTGAACAGTCAAATATCCACAATATATAAAAATAAGAACTTGAGCAGTCAAGTTCTCATCCTTGAACATGGTCCTGAGAGCAATAGGATGAAAGCACTTACACAGACAAGGGGATCTGCTGCTCCGATCCAACCACATCCACTAAAGCTGTGTTAAAAGCTGTCCAGAAGATAAAGAAAAAACCCCAAAAAGCCCGAAGAAGATTCAGATTCTCTGGCATTGTGCCTCTCTGTGCCTGGAAAGATTTGGGGAAATTCAAGTAAAGCCAAATTCAGCAGCAGTGAGGTTTTGCTTCTAAAGCCTCCCACCTTACCCCCTCCACTAGAACAACACTGGAAGAAATCACAGCTCCATCCTCATCCCTCCAAAGAATGACCCTTCTCTGTGTAATGGAAGGAGAGGACCAGAAGCGAAGCTCTAATGACTTGAAAACTATTGTGTCCCTGGTAACAGCAAAGCGTTTTCCAGCACTACTGCAGCCACTTGCATGTAGTTCTTTACAACTCCGCAGTCAGCAGTGTGCTGGAGTTACTTCAGTGACCTACTGCTGCTCCAAAGTGCCCTTAGCAGCAAGAAAGCAGACTATTGATTCCAACTGGGGAGGCTGTCTTCTTGCAATTACTGCTCACTTTGCAAATGGAAAGCTGCCTAGAGTTCTCCTTTCCCTCGCCGGTAACCTCCAGCCTTCATCCCAGATCAAGTCAGCCAACGCATTGGTTCAGCAGAGCAGGAGCAGCAGCCTTTTAACGGGATAGCGCGGAGACGGAGAGGCAGGCACAGGAGGAGCTGGACCAGAGGGAGGGAGGGTGGGTGCCTCTGGATGGCAAAAGCAGAGAAAGTCTGGAGGAGCTTGAAAGTGGAGTTGAGCCCTTCCAGGGAGGCGAGGAGAGAGCGCAGCACATTGCCGGGGGCTGAGCTAGGGAGGGCTCGGCGGGGCTGGCAGGGGCG